ACTTATGTTATTAGCAATTTACCACGTCTTCTTTTTTTTATCATTAAAGGCATTATGTTCATTATTAATATTTTTTTTTATTCTCTATTCATGAAATTATAATCATTGGTAATATTACTAAAATGAACCAAATGCAGAATATAAGCCTTTTCAGGTTTAGGGTAAATTCCTGGCTACTATAATAAAAATGGCTTATTTTGGGGATTTGTAAAGAAAGAAGACAAAGTTTCTATGACAGTGGTATCTTGATATCTCAGAATGGCCATAAATCACTTGTTTTGTAACATGTAATGGTTTTGTGAATACATATTGCACTAACTCAATAGTTTATTAGATGAGTATTGAATTTTCATGCTGGTTCATTATTCCCCACCTGTGATGTACTGTATTTATTTTGTATATTTCCCCTCTACATGTTTGGGTCATGCAATAGAGTAGATGGGATGAAAAAAGACATAATACAGGTATATTTTTTATGGAAAGAGAAAAATTATAAAAGCAGAGGTAAAATTAGTTACCATTAAGTTTTTAGTGATAACACAACATAAAATTTTGATAATCATTTAATATTACAGCCCCTAATCAACTTAATCTCGTTTGACTTTACCTAACGTTTCCTAATTCTACATAAAATACATATTCATTTAGATAAGTATTGAATGTCATTTTCATGATATGTGGTGGCAGAAGCTGGTATCTTGTGGTGAGGTTGGGTATGGATGAGCTAGGTTGGGTTGATTAGTTACTTGTAACCCAAGATACTGTGACTGACTTGACTTGTATCCATTCGTGTTGTCATTTTTCCATACTTATTCCAATGTTTTTGTTTCGGAAATCTTGTCAACTCCGCTGCAAAACAAAAACCATAAACGTGAATTAGTAAATGAAGAGGAAACCAATAGACTCAACTGATGAATTAACTAAAAACATATGAGTTTCAGTCAATAAGTATTGGCACAAACATTATTTATTGAATTGTATTGGCCAAATACTGTATCAACATATCCCTCTGTACACTGGTATGGTTGTCTCATTATGCCACCTGTTTTCTTACCTATGACACCAGAGATTATGTGAGCTGTCGTCATCAGATCCTGATCACCTCCACTGTAACACATCCCTCATATATGATGTCTTACACTGTGCTAAGATGGGATGTGAGCATCAGTGGGCAGGGCAATAAATTTTGGCTGGAAAGTAATAAAAAATTGCAAATTTACATTTTGATGGTCTTGAATTGCATTTTAATTCTTGGAATGTGATCTAGCCAATGATGCATAAATTAGTCTTATTGAAAGTGAATCATACCTTTTGAATAAAGAATCAGGAGGTGATAAAGAATTCACATACAAATTTCAGTTCAAAAACTTCAATATAAAAGTTTGTGTTGTTAAAACTTCACATTTACCCTCGCCTGAGATAAAGTATTTAAACAGCTGGCAGTGATCTCGCTCGTTGTGAGATAAAGATAGTAAGGTCGTTAACTTAAGTGTTGACAGCTTAAAAATTTTCCTACACTTAATTATCTTTGACTAGAAAATGGACTGATTAATATATTCTGATTTAGTAACACATCAGTAAGTTCACTAGTGGCATCTACCTAATGCATATTACAATGAGAAACTAAAAACTTTTTGCCTGTTTATAACAAACTCTGCTAGTAGATACAGTATCCATTCTCTAGATGGCACCCATGCCTACTTCATGTCTTTTTCTGATCACTAAGTCCCTCCTTGATGCAATGCATTTCTAATGAAGTATATATGACCTCTGTGTGGTAAGTATTTTGGGGATCAGTGGCATAGACAAAAAATCAAGCATACCCTCATACAGTCAAACAACTTAATAGGTATAAATATTAGACACATGAAGATGTGTATGATATATTAAATATTGGGTAAGAAACTGGATAAAGGCACATTATCCTGACAATATTGTAATCATTACTGCACTGGTTAACCCAGAACACGATCTGCAAATCAATTAACATCTAGGTCCACACTAACTGTCCCAACGGGACAAAAAAAATGCATCAAAAAAGACCAAATGTGAAAATGACCTGGCTGTGTATGTTGGCAACAAACTAAAGTTTTTAGACAATCGTGAGAAGGTGAATCTAGGGACTAAGCTAGTGGTTCTTATAAGAAGGTCGTAACGATCTTTAAAAGTGAGGTACTTCCTAGTTTGGAGTACTGTCACCTCGTCTGGTCCCCGATATATGCTAGAAACTGTCAGTTGATTGAAAACGTCCAAAGAACCAGACTGGTGCCTGCACTATGGCACCTCAGTTACCCAGAGAGATTAGACCACATGCAACTGCCTAGCTTATTCTATAGGCAGGCAAGGGGTGACTTAATAGACATCGAAAACACCTCAGAGGATATTAATCAGTTGAGTGTCCATATCTGGAGCTGGTGGATGCCCACCCCACTAGAGGTCACGTTTTAAGGTTGAAGAAGTCACAAGCTCAAAAAATTGTCTGATCAAACTTTTTTGGAGTGAGGGTTGTCAACTCTTGGAACAATCTGCCAGAGAGTGTTGTGATGGTGCTGACTGTAAGCTCATTCAAGACGTGGCTTGACCAACACTGACACAGGTATAGATGTATTTTGGAACCAGTACTTGCCAACAGTGTGTAACAAACGTAGCTAACTGTCCAAGTGGCCAACAAGCCGATCAGTGGCGAAGAGGATAAAATACAGTAAAAAAAGTAATGTTGGAAAGTCAGAGGCAAATGGCATAAAGAAACTTGCCCATAGTTTCACCCTGCCTGGGTATCTAACCCAGGTCCACTCACTTGCGAGGTGAGCATGCCGATCATTGCACCACAGGCTGCTGTGCAACTCGCTCACATACACAAAGATTCCAAAAGCAGTATTATGTTACCTTAGAGTTCCTTCAGTACAGGTTTATTGCAGTTTTGACCACTATTTAAAGACCTCTAATTACTTGATCACAGGAAGCATGACTGCAAACATTTACCTGGTTATGGAGATCAGCAGTTGTGATCTAGTTTTGTTTTATTTACTCCCCACTTATCTGGTGGATGACCCATATCCTGCTCTCAGCTACTGGATGACCTACATCCTTTCTATAACTGGTGGATACTTGTATTTCTTCCTTTCACTTGGTGGATGACCTATGTTTCCCTTTCAATTGGTAGATAAATAGACTCTTCCTCTCAGCTGGTAGATAAATTGTCTTCCCATCAACTGGTAGATAACCTGTGTCTTCTTATCGGTTGGTAAATGATGGATGAACTACATTCTTTTCTCCAGCTGGTGGAAGGCCCTGTAAGCCGAGGTCACAACTGCCAAGTGGGCCACACTTCACTTTGCCCAAGGCGTGATTTTGAACAGACCAACACATTCTAGAGTGGATGTCCTCCAGTTTCTTCCTTTTCTCTGTCATCATTGATGTATATCTTCTCTCTCCTTGCCTGTGCCTCTTCACTATGACTCATATAACCCCACAACACCAGAAATAACATTTAAATCCATTTAAATATGTTTTTCTGCCAATCCTGGAAAATTTTCTTCATATTATCTACACATTTCTCAAAAGAAAATCACTAATACATACATTCGGTAATTCTGTATGAACATTAATTCTTTACAGAAAAAGTATAATGTACAGTCTCGTTCAAGATTCTTCGAACACTGCTGGAGACAGCTGGCAACTCTAAGCTGTTTGTTTTCTATAGTACGTAGTCAAACTTACGAATAAATGTAAAAGCCCAACCATTAATTAAGCAACGGGGAACTAAGTAACCAATCACCGATCACTTTTACATTCATTCATAATTTTTACTACGTACTATAGTAAACAAACGGCCTCGAGTTGCCAGCAGTGTTCGAAGAATCTTGAACGAGACTATACTTATAAAACTAATCTCACCTTCATTTAATGTCCTTCCTCTTCCTTTTAATTCAATATTTTGGGGTTGATTTTGTTCGTGGAGCAGAGTTACCCCAACTGTCCAGGGCCCCGCCACCTAGCCATGGTTTCTGCCATATTCTAGTGGGATTACTCATATTGGTCCTCTGCACAACTGATTTTCAAATTCTGTACTTAATTTTTGAATGAATCATCTTATTGGTGTTTATGATCATTTTCTATAGCATTTTGATGTGGTTGGTGGTAGACTTAACATAGTCTGTGCATGACTTATGTTGGGGTCTGCATGTAACCAGGAGGTCAAGTCTTTTTATTAGCATGATGGTGTGATACAATGTTAATTGACATAAGCTATATGCATGAGAGCAGTGACAAGCTCCTGCATGTGTGTTGTGTGGCAATCATGTGCATGGCAGTTAGTAGTAGAGCCCAAGGGATATGGAAGACATAACTTGTCGGGATAAAAGTTTGTGATGTGGATATATAATCCTTTTTATACATTCTATTTAAGTATATGTGTATTCTAAAATTCTTAACCACTGGCTCAATATAAAAAAATATGTAGCTTAATATTTCCTTTGTTATTTAATGAGCTTTGTAAGTCTATTATGTGTCTATGTCTTTTATAACATGATACTTGGTGAATATGAAAATGTTCACTGGTACATTTGCCTCAGAAATCTTAAGACTTCAAACACCTTTTTCGTCATATATTGGCTTCTTTAACACACCTTTATGTAAGAGCCGAGTACCTTCATGAGCGGTGGTTGTAATATTGTTAAAAAAGTGTGACCCTCCACCTGATTACAAGTCTCGTTTAATTTCAATCTAAGGTCTTCGCTATTTTCTTTACCACCAGCAGAAGATGGGACACTGTTTAAATGCCCTTAACTAACTTTTCCAAAGAAAAATAAACCGAACTTAATTTGTGATCATTTTGTATTACCCTTTGTATTGAACAAGTTTTAATTCACATCAATATTAGTCAATTTCAACCTTAGTCATAATACATTGGCAACTCATGACACCCCTGATGGAGGTTAAAATCATGGCAGGCATCACATTTTACCACAACACCTGCCTCATAGATACATTCTCTACAGGGACTGGCGACCGCTGTAGATAAAGTGGGACGGGAGAGGAAGATGGGCGAGGAGCGTGGGGTGCAGTACAGGATTATCAACCCTAAAGCTCTCACTCTTGGCCAGCTTTATGGCGCTTATGATCCATTCTCACACGAATGGTCTGATGGTAAGACTGCACACCTTCTTTCCATCACTTAGAAGTTCAGGGAATGAGTCAGCCTTTGGAGAAAACTTTATTGATTGATACAATTTCACTAGTTTTCAGCCATTTTGAACTAAATACTAATAACATATATCTCATTTCTCTCTTAATGAATAGCACCTGTTCTGTGAAACTACTCTTGACTGTTATGGTGTAATAACTTTGCTCTTTATTTTATTATTTTATTAATATACCTAATTGGTGTTAAATATTAATGATAGAAAACAAAAAGGTCAACAACAATCTTGACATTCAGTTTAACATTGTAGTAAATCAATATTCTAGAGAGTGTTAATTGGTGAGCATATAACTTCATGTGCTTGTACAGTTTACAGTGATCAAGAAAACTTATCTTGTTATCATGACAGCAGGTGTCCACAATGTTCCGGTCATAAAGCAGTGACCCTTACTAATCTTCTTAATAAAAAAAAATTGAACATGCCATCTCTAAGCATCAGGTGAGAAGGTTGGGTCATCTTACCCTATGACCTGACTGCAGAATCATTGCAATTAAATGCCAGGTAGCGACGTGTCCTAATATTACGTATTTAAGTACTGTAATTATTAGATGCTTTAATTGCCTGTATGTTGGCCTGGCAAGTTAATGCTAGGCATTTACATACGTAGGTATAAAGCTAGATGTCGCATTCTGGATTGAACAAAAATATTCTTTTCTTAAATTTTTGCATGAAAAGATACATCTGTGTGCCAACAGGCGTATTAGCTAAGACTTTCCGGGAGATGGCGGTATCAACATCAGAGGAGCGACGCTGGCTGGTGCTGGATGGCCCTGTCGATGCTGTCTGGGTGGAAAACCTCAATACTGTTCTTGACGATAACAAGAAGCTCTGCCTCATGTCTGGAGAGATCATACAGGTGAGTGAGGAGGCAATGTTAGAATGAATGGAAAGAGGGAACACCTGTTGATTAACCTCCAACTTAAAAGTAATCACCCTAATGTTAACCCAACTTAACCCTCCAGAAATCAATTAAACATTAGTGAAAAAAGACAATACCTGTCCTGTAGTCTGCCACCAACTTTTTTGTTTACAACCTCTAAGCCAATCGGCAATTGTCGTAAAATATATACAATAGCCCGCCAAGGTTCGTGTCCATTACAGTAGGTTTCTTCATATTTTCACTATATGTGAGTTTTGTGAACATTCTATGCCCATTATGTCTGGAAAATGGCCTGGAAGTGAATGAGTTGGTAAACCAGACATGAAAAGGAAAGTGATACGAAGGGTTGAGGCAAGCAAGTGTCAGGTTGATGTTGGTCAGTCAATTGGCCTGACTTTCTCCAGTTTTAAAACCATACACGATAACAACGTGCTCTGTAAAAAATAACTGGTGAATGTTATTAAATTTATTTTCATTTATTTTTATTGTTAACGAAGTCATCATTTGAATGTAAAAGTAAAGCATTGTCAGATATTTTTGTTTTTGTTTTTTATCATTACCCTGTAACTTTTTTCTGATATTTAAGATTTATTTTGGCACATTTAATAATTATTTAGTAATTCTATAAACAAAAATATTAAAAATATTTAACAAGATTTATTTATCATTTCAACTAATTTTGCTATTAGCAAGAATCCATCTCCCGAAGCGAAATGTTATAATGGCCTCTTTTAACGGATATTTCGCTTAGCAAACCAGCCTCAAGAACGTATCTCATCCCTTATAAGAGGTATGATAATATATACTAACTCTCCTTCCCTTCCTAACATGTCAGATGCCGAGTAAGATGAGCATCATCTTCGAGACGTGTGACTTAGAGCAAGCGTCCCCAGCCACTGTGTCCCGCTGTGGTATGATCTACATGGAGAGTCAACAGCTGGGCTGGAGACCTCTCAAGGTGAGGCCATACTGTAGGGTCACACTCAGGGTGGGGATACACTGTAGGGTCACACTCAAGGTGAAGATAAACTGTAGGGCCACACTCAAGGCGAAAATATACTGTAAGGTCACACTCAAGGTGAAGATACACTAGACCACTCTATAAGACAACTTTGAAGGTGAGGCAAAATTGAAGGGTCATAATGAAGGTGAGGAAACACTTTAGAGCCTCATCGGAGATGAAACCACACTGTAGGGCCACAATAAATCTGAGGCCACACTGTAAGATGAGGACACAAGGATGAGTGAAAGCTTTTGCAAAACTCTTCACCAAATTTAAGCCACAAAATTTTAACAAAAAGTTAAAAAATCTTTTGCAGTACTTGACTTCAAAAACATCAACAAAGAAAACAACAGAAACTGTAAAGCAATAAGTCTTTACAGAATTTATATATAAAAAAATACTTGATTTCAATCATCTGAGAAAAAACAGGCAGAGTTTGAGAGTAAATGAAATACCTTAGATTGTTCAAAAACTGTTGAGATATTTCTTGTAATATAATGAATACAGATTAGTAATTTGAGATTACCATAATGCATAAGTCTTCTCAGCAACTAAAAGGCCTTTGATTCAGTAGATATTATGCCTGTCATTAAAACTTTGGAGAATAATAATGGTATTGAAGAGGGTTAAGATGTTATTACCATATACAGTACATGGATACTAATTTTATTATCTGGTTACCTTAGTTACCTCTATTATTCTTGTTAGTTTTATCTTGGGATAATTTGAAGCCCAATACTGTTCTTGATTCCACAGCTTGAGTTAGTTGACTGTTCCATAGATTTTTCACCCTCTGTGTGAAAAAGTATTTCCAATTCTTCATCTTGCATTAAGTGTAGAGGGTGAAAATTTTAATACAAAATTAACAACTCTTTGAAAATAGCTATTAATAGTGGTTTTGAAAGAAATTTGGTAAATAACTTAAATTGGAAAGCACGTTTTAATATCAAAAGTGTCTAATTTAGTGACTTACTTTTTACTTTTATCCTCTTCACCACTGATCGGCTTGGGTGATCAGTCACGTCTCTGATTACTACATTGCTGACATGACTATAATATTTGCAGTAGAACAGATAGGAGAAAAAGTGAACTTTGCCCAAAGTAAATGTTCAACATGTTCATGCATTCTCAACAAAAATTAGTCAATTTGCATCTTTTTTTTCTTTTTTTTTTCTTTTTTTACAGGAATTAACCCACCCGGGCACAGGTCAAACGACCCACAACGGAGCCTGTTGGGCGGAAAAAAAAGAACGGAAAGAAATTGTAAATATAGAAAAAAAGGTTATACTGTATTAATCTACACCATGAAGATGCTGGAAAACCAGCTTTTTAAAGTGAGACAGATTGTAAGAGCATGGAAACACAGAAGAAGGCAGAGCATTCCACAGTTTGGCTGTGTGAGGAAAGAAGGAGGTACTATAATGGGTTATTCTCATGTGACCGACATCCACAGAGAAATGGTGGGCACCACGGGCAAGACGTGTGTGCGAACCCACGGCCTTGCCGGCGGTACACAGGATGCTTCTTTAGGGCCTTCAATGTTAGTAAATGAAATTCAGTTAAGTGAAAAAAGGGCTGGAGTGCCTCTAGAAAGCCAACACATATTCTAAAGCAGTATATCTCTTTGTTTATAGAGAATATTATTTGACCTTTGCAAATTATCAATATTGTGATAGTGAAACATGATGATTGAAAGCAAATGTAATACAGAAAATCTGAAGTTTAAACCATTGAAAAAAAATCATAACAATGAAAGGTAGAAGGAATACATAGCGGCAGAAAAATAAATTCATGGGTGAGATCTTATATTACAGTAGAGATTTTACCATAAGGACCAAGGAACTAAGATGACAGTGGGCTGGACATGCTGCAAAATGAACAGACCAACATGTTACTAGTCCATGACTGGATCCAACAAGAGGAGAAAAGACCCAGAAAATGACATGCTACTGGAAAGATAGAGGAACTTCTGGAGTTTCATATTTTCTCTGAATAAATCAGCCACCACAGCAGAGACGAGACACCCAAGACCCAAGTAGCGGGTCAAGCGGGTCAACCTGCAGTAACACCTGCCACCCAGTAACACCGCAGACCTGGGCCAGAGACAGAGTTTAGAAGTATACTTTAGGAGAGAAACTCACGACAGTAGCTTGTAGAAGCAAATAGGTGCAATCTTAATCAAGCAGACATTTATACAGATTAATGATGGTTTGTGTGTGAGTGTGTAAGTCAGTTGTCTCCAAAATTTAACACACATTTTTTGTATAGAAATTAAAATGAAAACTGACAGGATTTTTTAATATTCTTGGCAAGATTAAGGAGAGTCACCTCCTGTCCAACTACTTATTCTTTGTCTTGGTTTGGTGTAGGACTCGTACATGGCCAGCCTGCCAGTTGCTATCAAAGGGGAGGTGAAGCAAATGGTGGATGTGGTGGTTGAATGGCTGCTACCACCTGTATTTGACTTCGTAATGAAGAAGTGCAAGTTCATGATCCAGACCTCAGAGTTGCATCTCTTCCAGGTGGGAGAGTCTTCATAGTAACTGCTTTTTGTGTGAATAAATTGTACAGGTTTCTAAATGACTAAGACTTCAATCCATTGCTTACAGTATAGTGTCATGTAAAGTGTAAATAAAGTACAACTGTGTAACATGTTTAACAGCCGATGATGTCCCTTGACCACATTGATATTACCTGGCTCAAGAAACACTAAAGAAATAACACAAACTATGACATATTTACCAGTAAAATTCATAAGTTCTGGACACCAAATGGTATATACTGTACTGTACTAAATGAATAATTGTACGTAGCATCATATAAAGTGACTCATACATAGCACAACCCCCACTAGTCCTTCGCATGGATGCTGGACTCTCTGCTGGACGAGGTGCGGGAGGCAGGCAAGCCGCTTGGCCCTAAGATCTCAGATGACAAACTGACATCACTACTGCAGTACCTAATCACCTTCATCCTGCCCTGGACTATCGGCTCCACAATCACAGGTGAGCACTTAGTTCTACTGGTGGTCTTCATCTTGTTCATTGGTTTAGTCCTGTTATTCTTCAACGTCTAGGTCAGGGGTCACCAACACGTCAATTGCACGCAACTGGTAGCTTGCTGTTTGCCAATGAATAACTCACATTAAACTTAGAAAAATCTGAATTCTGAACAAATTAGTGATGTTTGACCTTGATAGTGTTTCTTTGGAAATGGAGATTATCAGCCATCATAATGACACTCAGTTGAAATCAAGGCAATCTGCTGCAGAGTTTTGGAGTCTCATGAATACTGAAAGGTATAGTAAAATCTACAAAGTAGCAATGGAAGTGGTTTCCCTATTTGGCTGTACTTACCGTTGCGAATCTGCCTTTTCTGATATGAACCGCATCAAACCTAATTTTGAATCCGTCTGACAATTGAGCATTTATATGATTCTATCACAGATGCCCTCTTATGATACACACCAAATTATGCAGCAATGGTGGACAACATCCTCTGTCAACTTTCATACTATAATGAATAAATTTGTACCCTTATAAATTCATATGCAGTATTTCCAATTTATGTCTAGTAGCTTTTGAAATTTTTCATTCATCAAATGTATATATATATATATATATATATATATATATATATATATATATATATATATATATATATATATATATATATATATATATATATATATATATATATATATATATATATATATATATATATATATATATATATATATATATATATATATATATATATATATACAGTCAACCCTCACTTTATGCGGTTAATGTAACCCACAGGGTACCGCGGAAAGTGAGAAACGCGTAAAGTGAATAACATAACATATGGGATTAAATGAAATAGAGACCAGCTGACCCCCAAACTCCACTTTTTCCAACACAATACCTATGTTCTAGTAAAAATAACATCTTAATTTTATGATGGTACATGCACACAATTAATACTTAAGAGAAATAGATAAATACAGTCGCCAAGTTAATGTCCATTCAAATAATGGACTCAACTCCCTCCCCCTCTTCTCACACTACACTGCTGGCTCTTCCTTCTGAGAAATTTTTGGGGGAAAACCAGGTATAGTAATAAATAATACCTCAAACTAAAGTTAGGATAATATAATTGACATTGCTGGATTCCTTGTAAGACCAGGATATTTTGAATATAAATGTCATACAGTGAGTTCTGCTATAACGCGTGTTTTGACAACGCGAATTTGCTCGAACGCGATTTATGAATTGAGGAACGATATTTGTAAAATGCGAACTCGTTTGCTCTAACGCGATTCCACTCGAACGGTTGTTGTGGCTTCAGTTCACGTTCGACATCACATGTTCAATTGAGTTATGTGTTTTGTTTGTGAACAATTGCAGAAATAATGTATGTAATATTTATGTATACAGTATACCTATATATTAGGGTGTGTCAATTTAGGGGGTGAACTGGCTAAATTGAAAATCGAGTAATTTGGTAGCAATTTATTGTAGTCTTTAAGCATGCAAAACAATATTCTGGCATAATTTTTTTTTTATAATAAGTCCTACCTACATCAAATGGATTTTTAAATGTACATATTTGTGAATTTATAACATAACCAGCGTTTGCACACATGTTACTGTTTCAAGTTTCAAATTATTATATTTTATTATCCGTAGTCTATTTGAAAGTAACCAATGCCTTCATACTCTCTTTGCTTTGGTTTCTTGTCATCAGTAGTCTGCTTGCTATTTGTGCTTTGATGTAACCTTCTCGCCTCTCGTGGCTGTAAACATGGCCCTGCTGCTTCTGTGACCATTTTCACACATCTCTCCACACTTTGAGTGTGGGAAGGCCACTTCGGCACCTGCATTGGAGTCTCTTTAAGGTTTCTCAATTCTTGGCTAGTTAGACTTGTTGTCAATGGTGGCTCTAAGACTTCCAAACTCAAGTCAACCAATTCTGACAATTTGGTGGCATTGACGTTTATTGGGGGAACTTTTCTTGAATGAAACGAACAGTCTCCCAACTGGTCGTCATCTATTAGCGTTCCTCTAATCTTTAGAATGACTTCTACAGCCTCGGTTCGGAGATTGGTACATTGACTGCAAAGCATTGCTTGCAAAACTGCTTCTGATCGAGCATACCAAGCGGACCTTCTTGCCACAGGTAACACGATGTCCCTCACTACCTTCCTCTGTGTTCTTACTAGCTGCAATTGAAACAAAAGGTGATTGGGCCCATCCACCCACATAGGATTAAGTTTCACACTAAACCACTGGGGAAGATAAACTCCAATAATAAATTCAACAATTAACCTCAAATTCTTCAGCACTTTGCCCTTCAATTCGTGTTTGGAAATCCAAATCCTGCAGAAACGAAGAGCTGTAGTTAACCAACGGCTGTGACTGACAGGTCCAATCTCCAAGAGAGCCAATGACTGAGGCACTTCTCCTGATCTTATTGCTTGGGCAATACGATAAGCATAGGATTGATCTGTGCTGAGATCTTTGATGACTCCTTCAGACAACGCCGGAAGGGGAGGGCCAACTTCGACCTTTGGAAAGGTTGTATTTATTTCTAGTTGTGTTGCTTCATCCAGCATGATGCCAAGGGGACCTGACCACTTGTTGTTGCTCTTTGTAGGACCATCAAGTTCCTGGATGAGATGACGAAGAGGTAGCTCGCCTGTATGTAAATCACATACAATCCAAACAAGTCTTCTTCCTAGTTTTTTCTCTAAATGCGTCATTACACCCCCCTGCCATCCGGTGTTCACTGCAGTTGAATCTCCACCAACAGCCTGCAGTGAACTGCCAAGTCCTCTCTCCTGAACCCAACATAAAATATGATCAGCAATGACCTCTGCATGTTTCTTCCCTTCTACTTCAGTTTCGGGAGCAAAGTGAAACAAAAACCGACCACCAGGCTCAGAACAGACAGAGTAGTGTTCTTCTTTGATGAGACCTGGAAACTTTCTGTTCACTCCCTCTACTTCTAGCAAAACTTTTGTGTCATCTATTCTTCCATCAAACAAAAGACAGGAGAGCCCTCCCTCAGCTTAAATCTTTTTCATGAGATCAGATATTTCCTTCATTATTTTTTCTTGTGCTCTTCTAATTTTATTATGATCTATCACCAAAGATACATCCTCTCGGCTGATGAGGCCTGCATCTATCCAAGCGGCAGTTGCAATTTCTGCAGCCTCACGAAGTCCAGCATGGTGGCGAATACTAGCTAAAGCAATGTTTGAAATATTTCTTGTGTTGTATTTCATTTTCTTTGGTAAAGGTTCAGATGGCTCTTTGGAACTATCATCTGATGTTGCTTCCTGTTCATCAGAAGAACTATCAAAGAAGTGATAAACATCTTGACACAGCTCTTCCTCTCTTTGGATGGCTTCTTCACTCTTCATTTTCTTCTTTTGTTCCCTCTCTCGGATTTGTTCTCTCTTCTTGGCATTAGCAATCTGCTTCTTTGTTTCTGAATAATCTATTGAACCCATTTGCATACTTCCTTGGCCTTCTGCCTTTGTCCTCTGTGCCTTTATAAATTCAAGCTCTAAAACAGGGATCTTCTTTTCACGAGGACAACCACAATCAATGTGGGAATTATTTTCTCTCTTACCTGAGTGAGAACAGTTGGATTCAGAACATAATTGTATGGAGCACTTGCAGGTCAAAATGTCAAACAGAGTATCAAGTGTGTGCAGAAATTCATTTTTCCTGGCCAAGTTTCCTTTACCAAGTGATGTTTCAACTGCTTTGTGCCATAATTTCGTTAGTTTTAGCTCAATAGTTCGACACTGATTAATCACAGGTGGTTTGAATAGTGCATTAGCTTTTGTCCATTGATGCAGAAGAGGGACTATCATGTCATTTATGAGTTCTTTATCTGTATAGTTCCTTCTGTCCTTTGCATTTTTTTCTCGAAGGAGTAACCCTAATCTTAGCATGTCTCTCACTGTTGGAAGTTCTGATACAGGAAGCTCCTTCCCTTTACCAACTAGCAGGCTCAAGTGGGTTGACAACTGACTTCTTGTCTTCAATTTTGACATCTTCACACTATCTGACAAATAGAAAAATATTTCAATGTTTCATAATTCAATTGTTGTTTCAAAAAATATCAATTTGTTTATCAAAAATGCTGTAACAGAAATAACATAATAATTTCTTAGAACATAATGTTTTATACAATGATATAAGTAACTGCGACAATCAATATGCCCTACTTACAATAATTAAAATGTAGAATTCGTCTGGTAGAGTAGGTGCAAGTGCAATGAGAGCAAACCACCGTCTATGATATCTAGAAGGAGAGTGAGCCGGGCGCCTTATCCTCACGCTTGGTACAAGTCAAAACAAGAATTAAACTGTCCCACACGGAGAGCCTGTTCATGTTCATGTTCTGACATGCATATTGTACACAAGCTATAGAACCATAAAATACTCCATAATCCATATGCTTACATGAGATTAGTTAATATCAAGTGAATAATTCTAATCAAGTCTCATTAATTTGTTGAAATACTGATATTTGAAACTTTAAGGTATAATTGATGTAGGTGAGGGTTATTTCAATTCATTTTTGTTTGCTAATCTCAAGTTTAGACATAAAGAGGCACAATATTTTGACTACCAAATTTGATTTTTAACATGTTGACAAAATTGACACACCCTACTATATATTATAAGTAAATTGTAAAATTTTACATAAAAGAGAAAATCAAATTACATAGCGTTTTACACCCGCGCTCTCTCTACATCACACACAGTGTTTACAGTTCACGTTCGACATCACATATTCAATTGATTTATGTGTTTTGTTTGTGAAGAATTGCAGAAATAATTTATGTAATATTTATGTATACAGTAAACCACTCACAAGGTCCTACAGTACCACTAATTATTTTATACTGAAACTTACGTTTGGTAAGCTGGATTAAAATGAAGATTACCGGTATATTAAAATAATAAAAATGTATTATAAACCAGTCTAACATACCGTAATA